GGCCTCTAGGCTGGGTCAGGAAGATACATTCTGCAGAGAGGTGCAGATGGAATCAAGGCCGGGAGCAGGAGGGAGCAAGGAGGACAGTGTGAGTACAGCAGCACACTTTGGAATCTACGAGGGGAAAGACTGCCAAATGTAGCATGCTTTCTAAGGACAGCATTGGGCTCAATCCTTAATCATTGTCCCGGGAGATCTTCCTGAGAAGTCAGGAGGGCTGGTAGTGCTTTCAGACTGTGGAGCTGGAAGCAACTCTATAGGGGGAGAGAAGACGTCTCTGCGTGTAGCTACAAAAAATAAAGTGATTTTTGAGGGGCTGCTAGTTTCTCACCTGTAAAGTGCAGCTGCTACTGATCCGCAATGACTGACGGCTTTCAGGAAAAGAACAGTCCAGGATCTGCCTTTGTATATAGAAGGGAAGTGTCCCCCTTCCATTGTTTCAAGCCAAACTGGGCATCCCATAATCCCTATTCGCCATCCAAGTTGATTTCCCCTAATAAAATAACAAAACCAAGCCATGGAATGGTCATGGTCTTTGGATGCAAATTGGTGCAAGAAATACCTGTTGCCTGGCTGTGCAGAAAGAGGCTTAGGGATACCCACAACAGTGGCCCTTACGAGGGTAGCGTTACATATGAAACTCAGAGGTTTATACAACACTGTAAATTATAAAGTTAGAAAGTTGTGTGTCGTGTCCACCTATCTAAATCAATATACCCAACATACGTTCCTGAAAATGGCTGAAGAGTGAGTGGGGGCTATAGTGACCACCAACTGGAGACTGGAAAAGCTTCAGGGAAAGAGATATGTCAGCAGTGCAGTGTCAGCAGTGCATGCTGGGCTGCAAAAGCACTTGATTTTAAATATTATTGCACCCTGCAGTTGCCAGATAGCTACTGCAAAGTGGAGACACAGGGGTCCCTCTGCTTCCATTCTTATGGCCATATCTGAGAGCAGTATCCTTTCTCATTGACGGTCTCATGGACAGCTCTTGAACACTGGATAGTAAGGGGATGAGACAGGTAGACATCAAGGCAAGAGATGTCAGCAGCCCATCAGAAAACTCCATAAAAGGGTCTAATGCTTTACTGAATGACGATAGCAATGTTTCAGAGCCACGCAGGACCCAGTCATCAGGCATGTCGTGGTCTTCTGCTGTGATGTGATCATTCAATAAAGCATTGGACCCTAATTTAAAGTTTAGGCCCTTAAATACTTTGTTGCCATTTTATTAAACTTATATTTTATAACATGGGCTACTTAAAAAACGCAAAATAAAACACTTGTGTATATCCACTTGCCCTCAAGAAGATTTGCCCTCCTTCATGACCAGGACCTTTTTTGCTATACGGCGCTGCACTACATTAACTGACTATTGTGCAGTCATGCAACACTATACGCATATGAAATTTATATCGTTTTTTTCTTTTGGTGGTATTTGATCATTACTGGGTTTTTTTTTGCGCTATAAATAAAAAAAGACTTAAAAAAGTAAAAAAAATATATATTTTTGCTATAAAACATATCCAATAAAAGGTTTCTTTGTTCATCAGGAAATCAAAAACAGACCAGTGTGGTCATGGGGCCTGGGTGGAGTTGGGTCAAGTCCGTGACTGATACTTGTCCAGTGCGGGTTGTCCGGGAGTAGTTGTTATTGCGGCCAATGGGGCCTGGTGGGCGGAATTAACGCAGGAGTCAACCCTGCTGCACCAGGGTAATGCCAGCCAAGGAGGGTGCGGGTGCAGAGACCGTGGGACCAGCATTCAGAGCCACCTGACTAGATCCCGCAATGGATGTTTTCCTTACCACAGCCAAGTGATCCCTCACAACCGTCTATGCTGACTTCAGAGTGACATCTGGAGTTGAAGATGTCCCTTGATCACGGAGTGCCATTGCCTCCCTAAAGCTCGAAAGCAGAGCTTGCAGGAATTGGCCAGTAGCCCCTCTGGACCCACAGTCGTCGCCGACTGCATAACCTGTGACCCATGGAGTCACATCCGGACTGAGGCGCTCAGGTGGCTGAGACCTCCTAGCGCGTGAGCGTCCATGGGCAGGCAAGACACAAACCTGTCCAGACCCCTATAGCAGACCTGGAAGCTGGGCCCGTAGCCATTGTGAACCATTAGCCTCTGTCGCTGCTCTAAAGTGTGAGATAAAGTTCTCAAGGTCCTCCATTTTTCTCTCGCATGATGAAAAAACCTATTGACAAGACCCCGCAGAAGCTCATCCGACACTGACCCTGATTCAACTGGGTGTGTAAGGAAGCCCACCTCCTACCAAACCACCTCCGCCCTAACCTAACTCCAGCCTGCCACTCCCTACCCTCCACCAATAAGGTAATGCTATCTTCTTTAAATCACAGCACACATTAACTTTCTCTCCACCACAGCCTGTGCTTGCAAATCCAGTCATGTAGGCCTTTTACCTATGCTACGCATACGTTTCCACTTTCTAGAGACTGCGTTTTACTGTCACCTAGTATCCTTATTAAATTCACAGAGACATGGCACTTATAAGCTCCTGCCTGTACGTGTCATTATCAGTATAACATTGTTCTCTACCATATACAAACCATTTTCCCATTTTGACCCTGTTTGCATTGGTAATCCTATTCTGCACCTGCTCAAAGTGCAAGCCAAAGCTACCCTCTGTCTGATCATGCTACCGATCCTCCTACCTGTCTAAAGTTTTAAGAATGCATTGCTAAATCGGGTTTTTTAATGGAAATTAATGAAATAATTTAAAAGCTTCCAGAATGCCTTAGAAGGCACAATTGGTCTGTACATTCATCGACTTGAATTGAGACATTTGACAAACTTTGCAATGACCTATTTCTGCTTTGTACTGCTCACAAAATAAAAAATATGATGCACTGCAATGTGAACATATTCTGAATTTTGTGTGTGCTAGATTGTTCGCTTTTAGGTTACAGAACAGGTATTGGTCTCTCAAGGCATTTGGGAACCTTTATTAAGCCAAAGCAAATGCCTGGGTTTTTTTTTCTGTCATGTTAATGGGGTCTTATATACCTTTTTTATTATTTATTTTATTAGAGGTATTTACATAATACTGATAGTTTACGTGCTTTACATAGTGTACATTCATATTAGTCCTGCTCTCAAGTAGCTTACTAATACTTATCTAAGTTCTCTACCTCACATGTCTACATACACATGCAAAGGTCAATTTAGACAGGAGCCAACCAAGCCAAGAGCCAAGACAGGAAAACTAACACAAGCACTCATATAAACTCTATGCCGGTGGTGGTCTGGTTGGGATTCAAACCCTGGACTCTAGTGCTGCAGGGTAGAAGTTCTAACCACTGCCCATGGCAAATGCTTCACAACATTTTGTATTTTTAAGGTCAATTTAGACAGGAGCAAACCAAGCCAAGAGCCAAAACAGGAAAACCAACACAAGCACTCATATAAACTCTATGCCGGTGGTGGTCTGGTTGGGATTTAAACCCTGGACTCTAGTGCTGCAGGATAAAAGTTCTAATCACTGCCCATGGCAAATGCTTTCCAACATTTTGTATTTTTAAACTTAAGCTTTCTCTGAAAATGAACCCCTAAACTTAATCCCAAAATGTAAAATGAACCTGTGCAAAAGATTCACTTAGCTGACCCTCTTCCCATCTGTAAATATACACCGTCCCTTTATTCCTCCATTGCTCTGTTGAGGAGCGAAGACAAGTACACCTGATACTTCTGGGCATGGGGAAGCATGTACATCACTCCCATTCTTCCCATTTAACAGGACTCTTGTTTGATCGGCCACTCAGTCACTCAGCACTGCCCATGGGGTAGGAGAAAACCCTGTGTAAGATCCAAATTGAACATAGGGCTTGCTCTTTTTGCTCCCTGCATCCAAACAGAGCAGCTGGAAACCAAAAGAAATGGAAGTGTGTGCAGAGGGAGATGACATCAGTTAGGTGTACCTGTTGCTTAGCCTTGCATGAAAAAAGCCAGATTCAATTTAGCTTTACACTTAATCCCATAAAACCTAATTTTACCTTCTGACCCTAATCAGAACCTATCCCCTAATCTTGTCCCCTTATGTTAAATAAATCCATAATAAGAATCAATACTTACTTTGCAGCACCACAATTATCAGAACATCCTGTACTGGGATGGATGAACTGATTCATGTCATTCAACACTTTTATAAATTGGTAGAAAAAAAGGACGTGAGACAGAATGCATTCTAAGTAACCCACAAAAGCTCTTTTATGTAAACCAACAAAACTAATTTATGACCCTTTTATTTTTAGACAAGCCTCTGCTGCATGTCTTTCAAATGGTTTTTCTTTTAACTTCAGTCTGTAAGCATAAAAAACAGTGTTTTTAGAATTCTCAAGGTATGTGGGAAGGCGCACTGAGTCATGGGGCTGCTTGCTGGAAGCTGGGGTGTCATGTGAGTCATATGAACACTAGAAGAGAGAGACTCCGAGAGATGTATGAGAAGCCCTGGAAGTGATGGGTGATGTGCTGTGTGTGAATTGTCGTGTTTCTGGAAAAGCAGGAACTCAGGGCCAGCAAGAGGATAGTTCTGTAAACGATGAGTCCCCTAATTTGGAGGTATTAGTATTGTATTGTTGCCTGTGTTATATTTAGGGCATACAATTTTGTATTTGTGTTTATATATCTATATTGTTATTTTTCATATAATAATAGTTATATGGTTATGTATAAATCATGCCATATTTCAGGAATTTGTCCATGAATATTTCATGCATACTGATACTACCTGTGTATAGTGTCCATTATGTTGTATGGTTGGTGTCAATGTTAAATACGCACTTACGATTCAAAAGATAACACATAATATAAAGCACAGTATAATTGAATGTTCTTTATTATTTTGAATGTGGCTTTGTCAAACATATTACACCTGATTATCATATCTGTACCATACTTATGTCCTGTAACTCTGTCTTAGTCTTTCAAATGACTCTGTTATCTCATTAGCTTACAGATTTCAGTGATGTTCCATGTCCTGTCCGGTCTCTTCCTCCACAATGGTATCACACTGTCCAAGTGCGGAGGATAAGAGCACTGAGGGCCCGGAGTAACAGTGACCCACTGCAAGCGAAGAACTTGGGGCAAGGACTTCAGTGGGTAAGTGTTGTTGGAGTTATTTGTAATCCGGACAATATCTTATCTGAAATAGCAGTTAATGCATGTTGCATCGTACCATGCCTTTGTAACAGCTGGTAGGCACAGATTGCATTCGATCTGCCATTCATAACAAGACATCTGATTTAGTTTGTTAGAGTAAAGGCTAATGTTATAATGGTAATTTATACCTAAAATGTAATATAATTATATACCGTAACTGAATTCTAGTCCTGAAAGAGTTAAGTGACCTCATGCATGTGTCAGTTTGCACTTTCTGCAGTGGAAGACAAACCTTCTAGTCTATACATCATAGAAAAACAAATATGGAAAGATCTCACACACTGTTGTAGTTAAGGCAGTTCTGGACTATAGACATTGGCTAAGTGACTAAGCAGTACCTGGTCTTCTCCAGTTTAAAAACATCTCCAGGTACTTGCAGAGGCAGCACATGGAAGTCAGACCATCAGGGAAAGCAGAAGTAGGAACTACTAAGCCCAGCTCTGAGCCATGGTTTAACTCCCTTTGCTCCAATGGAAATCCTATTACCCATTTGATGACCAGCAATATATGTTCGCTAGTCATTAAATGGGTAATAAGGTTTCCATTACCTACCATTCCAGCAAAGAGGTTATACCAGGATAATGCCCACATCTGCAGGCATCATCCCAGTACTGGGTTTTTTTTTTTTTTTGTAAAAGCAATCCTAGCAGCTAACTAGTCACTGGATTGCTTTTAAAAGCAGCAGGAAGGGAACCCCTCTCCCTCTCCGCCTTCCACAGCTTTAACATACTGCCCCTTCCCAGAGCTTCCACCGGGGGATCAGAGAGGTAAACAAAGAGCTAAACTGCTCCGTTCGCCTCTATGATATAGGGAACTGGAAACAATGACCTTACGTCACTTACGGTTTACCCGGATGTAAACGGCACCATTTTTAAAAATGAAAAGCATTAGATCACATTGATCTTGGTGTGACCAAATGCTTTTAAGGGCAGAGGAGGGATCTGGGGTCTTACTGACCCCAGATCTCTCCATAAAGTGTACCTGTCACATGCCTATTGCTTGGGATGTTTACATTGCTTGTGAACCACAATAAAGGTGATAAAAAATAAAGCAACAGTGTTTAAATTAAATTTAAACAAAAAATGTTTAAAGTGCCCCCAACCCGCCGTGCTCAAGTGCAAAAGTGAACGCTTGCGTCGGCTTTTTAAAGCGTCGCCTATGGATAGTAAAATTTACGTTGTTTATCACCATTGCATAGGTGAGAGCAATTATAAAGTGCGACATGTTTGGTATCTTTTTACTTGGTGAATTTACAAAAAAATTGGGTTATGCATTGTGTGTTTGCATTGAAATTCAAAAAGTGTATATAAAAAAAAAAAATAGCGTTAGAAAAACCTCTGCGCAAATACTGTGTGACTTAGAAAAAGGCAACACCCACAAATTTATTCTGTATGGCTTCTGCTTACACAAATATATAATGTTTGGGGGTTCTAAGAAATTTTTTAGAAAAAAATACTAATTGTTACATAAAAATGTAGCACTACCCCCTTAGAAGTTGCTAGAAGATTTGGGTCCCTCTACAGTCCTGCACAGCCAGTTATCACGCATCTTCTGAAAAGCATGTATCCAGAGTCAGAAATCATTCTTTGAGCTTTGGTTTTGCTGTTTTATTTAGGGGATTTGAACTGGGATAGGGTTAGGGGTGTACAGGATGCCCAAGGGAACTGATGAAATGAGGACACTTTCATGGAACTATTTCCAAGCCTTTTCTGCAGCACAGTCTGTTAGAGAGCTAGCCAGCGTCTCCTTAGTGTACCACCACAGACCCTAGATAAACTTCTCATCTTCACCCAGCAATCTGAAAGTATCCCTGAACAGGGGATCCGGTTCCTGTCACTTTAATGCTGGACAGTCACTGGCAGGTGGCAAATCTGGTTTCCCACCAGAGTGCTCCTTCCCCTATTCGCCCATGGGGTGCAGGTCTGCTCACTCAGCTCCTCTCCTGTACCGTCATGGGCTGTTGGCTGCTACCAGGTCTAGCAGCTGAGCTTCTCCTTCCCTGCCATACAGATGGTTCTCTCAAAGGGGGCCGGTGAGCTCTGAGCTTTCCTCCTTTCCAGCTCCAGGCCTTCAGGTAGGCCCTATCCCACTGGACCTCCACACAGTCTCGTTCCTTCAGCCTCACATTTTTCTCTTTACCTTCCACCCGAACTCTCCTGCAACTGAGCAGGTTCCAACACTTTTAAGGGTGTCGCAGCCCCTTGCCAAACTCCAGTTGGGGATTGGCCAGAATCCCTCAAGAGTGCAAGCCAACCACTCCTCAAATCCACCCACTGCCTCTAGGGCCTTCCTCCAAAGCCCTAGAGCAGAGGGAAATTCCAGAGGGGCTGGCCTGCAGAGATCAAGATTTGACCTGGCTATTACAGCCAGGCTGCTACTCATCCCTCCTCACTGACAATTAAAACACTATCTCCCCCTAGCTAAACTAGGAGGGTGCTACAAAAATACTAATTTTGGTAAACAAAAAGTGCCAGAAATGGCCTGGTGGTTACAATATGTTGAGTAGCAAGGAGAGGCTGTTAATCCATGCCTGTAGGTAAAACAAATCTTTGTTTTGCAACTGCAACATGTGTTTTGTAAAACTGTACATATCATTGCAACTGCTTAGTGTTTACAGGTGGATTATACCTTGTTTTTTTTAAGGACAAATTGGGCTTTTGGCAATAAATAGATTTCATCTGATTTCTTTTTTTTTTTGTATTGTCAAAGGAAAACTGGCCTAAAATAGTTAAAAATAATTTTGTAAAAATGTATCTATAAGTTGCTTGCCATTACCGTGACCTATCACCAAACAAAACCCTGAAATACATTTTCCTACTCCTGATGTCTGTGGAGATAACAAATACTGTATGTATATATACTATTTGTTATTTGTACTCATAGTAGGGCTAAGAAACAATAGTACATATGCTGCTTTATTTTATCCTACCAAAACACACTGACACTAAATAAATAAAAAAAAAGATCAAACCCTGAGCTACCTATTTTATCATCTTTACTTTTTATTTATTATAGTTTGGTTTTTAAAAGCACTTTTTTTTTTGTTTACACTCTTGATCCAACTTGGAAAAAATGATAATCAGTATTGACTGATCACAGTCTATCTCAGTGATCATTAGCCACTTGATCTCCGGAAGGTTTTTGATGGTATTTGATTACCACTGGGTTTTTTATTTTTTTTGCTGGCAATATATTAACAAAAAAAGACAGAAAATGTTGAAAAAAAAAACAATATTTTCTACTCTCTGTAACAATACATATCCAATAAAATCAAATTTCGTCATAAATTTAGGCCAAATAGTATTCTGCCACGTCTTTGGTAAAAACTAAACTGCGTCTTTGGGGACACTAGTATAGTTCTGATCTGATCAAGATACTGATCTGTACAGACACTGAACTAGTAATAGCAGTGATTAGCTACTTATACAGTGGGTATAGAAACTAAACAATCACATTGTGCCTGAACGATAACCTTCTTGCTATTCAAAACTTTATCTCTGATCACATTGTGGACAACACCCTGCTGCCCCTTACAATGGGAAGCTCAAGGCTGTGCTGCATGGGGTGTTTATTCAACATTACACGAGACTCAAGCGGGAACGCTTAGAATGCATCCAAAGAGCGCTGGATAAACTCTGGGCATTGGAGACTCAACACAAATCCTCATCTTCACAGGAACTCCTGGCAGACTTTTCTGCCACTAGGACATCCTTGCTGTAACTGTATGACGCTTCTTACAGCACATACCAGCATCGCTTGGCCTTTAGTAGGTACTGGTTTGGGGACAAATGCAGTTGACTGTTGGTCCATTTGCTCCATCCTCGTTCTTCTCAGACTCTTTTATACCTAGTAATAAAACACCTCCAGGAGACTTGACCTCCATCTTTTCTTGGACACCTGAGACATTTCGAGACTATTTCTCAGCTTTGTACAATATACCTCCTTCCAGTCCGGAAGTTCCTTCATCATCTTTTGCAGACTGTACTGTTTGTATAACTAGGACGTTGACCTTAGAGACTTGTAGGACAGCCCTTTTTCCATGGAGGAACTCCCTGCTGCTATTGCAGCTACTCCTGCAGTAAGTGCCCTAGCCTGTACGACATTTCCCCAAAGTTTTACAAGACCTTTACGGATGTGAGGGGGGCACAAATAGAGTGAGTGTATTGTTTTGAAGATATGACACTATATGCAATTCCTTCAGAGGTATATTCCCTATATGAGTGGATGGACCTAGGAGCTTAACCAAAAAGGAAGGTGGAATTTGTGGAAGCTTTTTCATATTTTTGAGAGGGTAAGAGTAAGGATGACAGATGGTTAGAAGTGTACGCACGGTGGAGTGATTTTTGCACTTATCAGCACTATTTTTGTAAGTGTCAGGATGCTGGATAGTGGTGATCAGGGCACTGGTATGGTGTATGCCGGTGATCAAGGCACTGGTATGGTGTGTGACGGTGATTAGGGTGCTGGTATGGCAGTTGGCGGTAATCAGGGTGTTGGTATGGGGTATGGTGGTGATCAGGGCATTGGTTTGGGGTATGGACACTGGTATGGCGGTGATCAGGACAGGTGACAGGGGCTGGCTGCATTATTTATTATAGATATTCTGGGACACTGTACAAGCCGCCTGATAGGCTGCTGTTCCCTCACAGGCTGCAGGATCGCTTCTCTCTGCTCCCACACTGGGACTGAGAGAAGCGATCTTTACTTTCCTTTCCTGTGTTTACAATGTGAGTGCTGTGATTGGTCACAGCAGTCACATGGTGAAACACCATGTGATCTCCCGAACACGCGGTAATGTGATCTGCTGTGTGCGGGCGACATAGGGCTCCTATAGGTGCATAAAGAGGAGTATTCTACATCACTGTTTGACGGTGGACAGACTGGTTATCTCCCGCTATTGGTGTACAACCCGTGTCCTGTCTTTGGTGGAATGGGTAGAG